GAGAGAGAGAGAGAGAGAGAGAGAGAGAGAGAGAGAGAGAGAGAGAGAGAAAGAGAGAGAGAGATTTAAAGACCATGAGATCTGTAGATGGATACTTATGTCGACCCGGAATATCTCATTGACATTTCCATGTGTGCGGGCGGCGTACCCGCACTGGCTTTTCTTATTTTCCTTGTAACCTTACATCATGGAAGCTTTCCACAAAATATTTAAATTATTTTTATGTCTAAGGAGAGAAAAAACAAACAAACGAATACCTTTGGTATAATTAAAAAATCCTTTACTTGGAAGCTTTCCACAAAATAGGCGATTGGTATGATAGGTATGTCAAATGTTATCCATTGCCATGTCGAAGTTGTGGAGGGACTCCGACGGTTTTGATTGTGGGCGCACGCCTCATTGGTAAATACAAGCGTGCTGTGCATCAGCTGCGCAGGTTTGATTGGAGGTCACCTTCACGGCAATTGGCTGACAGAAAGATCGGACAGGATTGTCGCCTGGACACCGGAAGTAAGTTGAAGTAATCCATTCATCAGAAAGTAACTTGAAGTAATCCGTTCATCTGAATTAGGGAAAGAAGACAGCAGTAGGAAAGATGATGATGATGATGATGATGATGACATGCGGAGGAGGATAGAGGAAACCGCCACAACAAACCATATTCCATATTGAGAGTATTGACTGGTGGGGTTGGTGATTGCTGTAGCCTGAAGAAGAACAAGAAGAATAACAAGCAGTTGGAGGTAGCCATAAGCAGCTGGACGGGTGGGTGGGTGGGTGGGTGGGTGGGTGGGTGGGAGAATGACTCGTGGGAGGAGAGTGTCCATCACGAGAGCGCGCACCTTGTTCAAATCTGACCTTGATGTTTTGGTCACTGGAATTCATGCTTTTTTTTTTTTTTTGGGTTAGTTGGTGCTTGGATGCTCGCACCGTTTTTTCTTTTAATTTTATTTAATTTCATTTTAAGGGCTGAGGCAAATCGTCATTGAACTGACCAGCCCTAGGCAAGTCAGAATTGTGTTATTTTGTTAATCTGACTGCATCTGCATTCGAACTTGGGTCTGATTCATATTTCAACAGTTCATGGGTGTACCAACTGAGCTACCTGTGCTTGCACTTCAACTCTCTGCAGAATAGACCCTTTTTTTTTTTTTTTCCCGATTGTGCAGCAACGTTGGCATGCCTTACATATTTTCAGCACCTACTCTGTCGTTAAGAGCTCTTTTTTTTTTTTGCGTGTTTATACCCCGTTGGATTGCTTTGTACTGTGTCTAATATCACTTGCTTTGCAGGAATCGGTGGTTGCAGGCAGGGGAGGATGTGCAAGGGGAGGTGAACTCCATACCAGCAGTCCTGGTGTCAGTAAGTACCTGATTGGTGGCACGTGGGGCATGGTGAGGGCTCTGTGAAAATACCAAGAAAGTTCCTGTGGCTTATCCGCCCCGAGTCCCTGCGGCTGCGGCGCGCAATTGGAGATGGGTGGCGTAGCAGCAGAGCAAGGGGTAGTTTTGATGGCCAATGGGAAAATGGGTGCCACACTTCCCCGCTGGAGCCCGCCCAGCGACGCCGCCGGGCCCCTGCGACTGCGGGTGAGCAATAGCTTGTGCGGGGAGAAGGTGGAGTTCGTTCCGGCGAAGGGGGGTAGGCAAGTGACTTGGTACATATGTGGTCCCACGGTGTACGACTCGTCCCATGTGGGACATGCGCGGAACTACGTGACCTTTGACATCATTCGGCGTATCTTGGAAGAGTTTTTCGGCTATGATGTGTTCTATGTGATGAATGTGACCGACGTGGACGACAAGATTATCAACCGGGCACGGCGGATGCACCTTCTGCAGAAGTATGCGGAGAGCCAGAAGAGTGCAGAGCAGGTTTTCAAGGATGCAGCGAGTGCGCTGGGGGAGGAAATCGACAAGCAAGAGAAGAAGCTGAAAGGGGTGGAGGCTGACACGTTGGCGGCAACGACCTCGCGGCAGCGGGAGGATCTGGCAAACGCGTTGGCGCAGGAGAAGCTGAAGCTAGAGAAGCTTCAGGCAGCTGCTGCAGTGCTGAGCAAGGAGCGGGAATCCCTTCTCGATCCAAGTAAGAGTGCAAAAGAGGCCCTTGCTGGCATCCTTGCCATAGCTGCTGACGCGATAGCATCGTCCTTGGACGCCAAGGAAGGGGCTTCTGTAACCGACCTTGCAATCTTCCGCTCTCATGCTGCAAAGTATGAGCAGGAGTTCTTTGAGGACATGCAAGCTCTGGGGATGCGTCCGCCTGACGTGATCTGCCGGGTGACAGAGTCTATGCCTGTCATTAAGGACTACGTTCAGAAGATCGTGGACAACGGATTTGCATACTTGTCGCAGGGCAGCGTTTACTTCGACACGGCCGCCTTCAAGAAGGCCGGGCACTTCTACGGGAAGCTCTGTCCTTGGGCGGTGGGGCAATCGACCTTGGCAGCAGAGAGCGAGGCAAATTTTGAGACCAAAGAGAAAAGGGATCCGAATGACTTTGCCCTTTGGAAGGCAAGTCGCCCAGGAGAGCCCTCTTGGGAGTCTCCCTGGGGTAAAGGACGCCCGGGATGGCACATCGAGTGTTCTGCCATGGCCAGTGACATCATAGGCGACGTGTTGGACCTTCACTCTGGAGGGTGCGACCTGCGGTTTCCTCATCATGATAACGAATTGGCCCAAGCGGAGGCATACTTTTGCAACTCCCAATGGTGCAACTACTTCCTCCACTCAGGACACCTGCATATTGATGGCTTGAAGATGTCCAAGTCCTTGAAGAATTTCATCACCGTGCGTCAGGCTCTGGAGGACTGGAGCCCTCGGCAGCTTCGCCTCCTGTTCTTACTTCAACCCTGGGACAAGCCGATGAACTACGGAGTCTCGTCGATGGCCGAGGTCCAGAGCAAGGAGAAGCAGCTCACCAACTTCTTCCAAAACGTGCAGGTCTATCTCAGGAAAACGCAGAGTATGACCTCCTCGTCTCCAGGCTCGTCGCTGAGACTTGAGACAACCTGGAATCAGCCTGAGAGAGAGCTGCGCCGTCGGCTTCTGGCATGCCAGCAGGCGGTGGAGGAGAGGCTTGCAGATAACTTTGACACCTCCGGTGCGATCCAAGCACTGCTGGACGTTGTCAATGGTGTGAACTCGTATGTCGCCAAAGTCGAGGATGAGTTGTCTTTGTTGCCGGCGGAGGTAGGCGGAAGGGGAACAGGAGTAGTTTTGCTGAGGAGTGTCGTGAGCTATGTGACGCGGATTCTGTCGATTTTTGGGCTCTGTGATAGGAGAGGTGGATGGCTAGAGGTTGCAGCAGGCGTGGCGTCGTCCCAGAGCGACCGGGAGAGTGTCCTGGGGCCCTATCTGGACGTGTTTGCAGCTTTCAGGGATGAGGTTAGGGCGGCGGCGAGGTTGGGAGATGGTGGCGGGGGAAAAGAAATGATTTTGTCTGCATGCGACCGAGTCAGAGACGAGAGCCTCATCGATATTGGCGTGAAACTTGAGGACAAACCGGGGGGCCAGTCGGTGTGGAAGCTGGATGATCCCAGTGTGTTGAAGAAGGAGCGGGAGCGGGAGAGGAGAGAGAGGTTGCAGGCGCCCATAAAAAAGCTGGACCGCAAGATTGCCAGCAAAAAACAGGAATTGGAAAAATGGGAGTGTGCAGCAGTTCCTCCCACACAATTTTTCCTCTCGGATGAGAAGCGGAAGAACTTCAGCGCCTTTGATGCCCAGGGTATCCCTACACATGATGCAGCAGGCAAAGGGCTGTCTGGTAAAGCAAGAAAGAATGCGGAGAAAGAGGCAAGCAAGGTGCGCGACCTGCATGCACAATATGCGAAGAAGGTTCAGGAGAATCCAGGATTTCTGGAAGATGTGAGGCGAGAGTTGAAGGGGATGCAGGATGAGTTATCCAGATTGCAGGCTGCTGCAGGAGAGTGAGGGAGTTGTGGCCTAAAGATAGCATTACCTTCTGTCATTTGGATATTGTCCTCGATTGGCGATTGTCTCTCTCCTGGTGACACACCACTGATGTTATGGTCACGTATTTTTTTTTACCCTAGCCCTACTATTTGTTTGTCTGTCAATTTGCAGGATATTGATTGAGTTATAATGCCTTAAAGCTGTGTTCTTTCTGAGCGGCACCTTCTGCGTTGATCTGCTTCTATTTGCTGGTTTGGCAATTTGCAGGATATTGATTTGAGTTTTTGCCTTACAGCTTTTCTTTCTCAGAGGCACCTTTTTTTGCTATCCGCCGCTTTTATTGCTGTTTGCATTGGTTCATGTGCAACGAAACCCAGTCGGATGAGAAGCTCATGAATGTCGCAATACAAGTCTGACACAGCGCAGCGTCAATGTCTCCAAAAAACGTTTATGAAACCATGCTCGTCATACATGTAGTCTCCCAATGTCTCGAACTCAGAGAAGAGAGTGAGGAGAGAGGGAGAAGAGCCTGAGCGGAGGAGGAGGAGGAGAGGAGTTTAGTTCTCCCCAGACGATCTCTGACATATACAAAGAACAGGTCACAGCAGGGCGACCATCCTCCAGCCACATCAGCAGCAGTCAAGGTGGATGTGGCGCAGATGTTCCTCTTGGAGACGAGCAGCAAAGCACACGCTTCGTCACAGGTACGTCCAGGTAAGCTTTTCCTCATCACTCACACCAATCTCACAGTCCAGATCCTCCTCCTCCTCCTCGCCCACACTCCTATCAATGTCGAAATCAAATGTGGCTATGATGGCCACGTTGGCATAATCACTGTCAAGGCTGGCGCCCACACTCAGAAACTGGCACCAGCATCAAGCTCCAGCAGCCTTTGGTCTCCTGGGGTTGCCGCATCAGCATCAAGCCAGCGCCAGGCAGGATGCACAAGACTGAATGATCTCCAAGCAGGGGCTGGGTCAACTTGTACTGTTGACTCACGTTGACCAGCCTCTGGTCTCGGTCGACGGCCCAGATCAATTGGAAGCCAATGGCCTGGATGCTGTACAGTTGCAGATTTCCCACGTGTTCCACTTGGACCCGATTCTTCCGGATAACTGCAGAGAACCAATGATGTGCATCTGATCTACGGCTGTGGCTGACCAGCGGGTTGACTTTGACCTATGGGCCTGGATTCCCGTGCTGGGGTTGACCGTGGACTTTTGCAATGTCAACTGTTCCTCCTAGGGCCTCTGACTGCTGGTTTTGGCCCTCCCATGGGTACCCCTTGGCCTTAGGCTTTTGCCCAGGCTCTTTTTAGACTTGGGGTGTGACGTTTGACCCCCGCGTCGGGCCTTTGACCAAAAGTGACGACCTAGAGCCCACAGCTTATGCAGATTTGAGCCCAGTTATTGCACATGCACCGATTGACGTGAAATACTCCCCGGAACTTCGACTCCTACACGTCTTTGCGCAACAGCGCCTAAAGCACCTTTTATTTGGCTTGTCTTTTGGTCTCCCTCTTGTTCACATGGATGTACTCTTCTTCAGTCTTCATTCATATTGAGGTGATTTCCATTGTAACCTCCCGTCTTCGTTTTCCCCCAGTACTTTTTGTCTTTCTTACTACTGGTGATGTCATCCAGCCAGAGATAATGATCCTGTGCCACGGCAATTGATGCTCCTGGGACTCGAGAAGTAATGTTGTCGAAGTGTCATGCGAGGAACCATGTACGTGTGCCAGCTCGCAGCGAAAGAAGTAAAGAAGGTGCGAGAGTTGTATGCGGAGTACTTGCAGAACGTTCGTGGAGGGAGGAGATGCGGCATCCAGATTGCAGGCTGCTGCAAGAGAGTGAGGTAGCAGGTCACAGATAGCATGGCCTTCCCTCCCTTGCATCCTGTGCTTAGTTGGAGGATTACGTAGCTCACATGATGGCACATTTCATCCTTTTTGTTTTTAATCCAAAGACCAAGGGCAAGGTGCCCGCAATCTACCCGGAATGAAAGGTGGATGCTGGGAGCATTACCGAGTTTAGCTTTGCGGAGAACCGAACCCCTGAGGGGACCACCCCGCCGATCAGACATGTTTCGTCCTTGATCGTTTTTTTACTTGCTTATTTGTTCACTATTTTGGAGGATGTTGATTGAGTTTTCGCCTCTTCACCTTTGGAGGTGCTGTGGCGGCTGTCTGTTGTGACACTGGTCTGCAGCCTATAACTGGCGGATGGGAGATGATTGCTAGTGCATTGTGGAGGCAGGAAAGCGTGTGGGTGGTAGAGTCCCTAGAACACTAGAAGACACCTGTCTCCTAGGTGGCGGGCAGTCGACAGCGAAACCAAACAGCTACCAAGGGAATAACTTGAAGTGGAGCAGATGTGGAACGGATGAGTGGTGCGGGAGAGATGGAGAGTGCGCTTCAGGGTCATGGGTGCCAGCCATTGTTTGCCTAGCTCTGAGCTTGCATCAGTGGCGACATTTCTGGCTCTTCTCTTGGCCTCTCGATTCCAGCCCCTTGGGCTCCCAGAGTGAGTGAGCCCAGTGTCATGCACCTGGGTGGTTGGCTTGTTCCCCTCCAGTTTCGTTCCTTGTTCACATTCATTTACATCGGTCTACATTCGTATCAGGTTGTCTCTCATTGTACCCTCCCATCTTCGCTTTCCTTTGTACTGTTTGTTTTCGAGATAGCTGGTCTACCGTTGTGGTGTTATTCTGCCAGAAAGGGTAAAACTCCCATCTTCGCTTTCCATGAAGTTAGGAACGATCGAGAGTAGAAGGAAAGGTGGACGTGGGAGGGTCGGAAATGTCTCTTGCACCACATCAATTTATGGTGTTGTCATGGAAGAGAAGAGCAAGAACCCATTTGTGAAAGAAACCGAGGAATGGAGGGTTTGCGAGTGGTGGATCTGTGTTTTCAACTTTTTGTGCTGCAGTAAGTAATTGATCCTTTTGGGATGAAAGTAATTGATCGTTTTGGGATGAAAACTAAGTTCCATGCCGCCGATTGCAACAGATTGTCACAGTGTGCAGAGTTGAGCTGTGAATCCAACAGGGGGAAAAACAATCGATCACCATTCAGGTCAGCGCCAGAGCGAAACACACATGAAAGAGAGTGGGAGTCGTCTCACGCACCACCTGAGACACAAATGAAGCACATTCATGAGCCAATCACGTAGTTGATAACCGGATAGTCTGATGCCAAGAGGGTGGTCAGAAGTCAAAATGGACATCTCTCCTGGTCATCCATCATGATCCTCATTCTTCCTCTATCACCACCACCTTGCTCTTTCTTGTCCAAAACTTTCAACACTTGATATCGATGCATGCCTACAAATAGCAGATAGGCATGTCGGAAAACGAAGGATAGACCTGTGGAGAGAAACAACAATGTCATGGGACGGAAGACGGAAAACCACAGATCTGACTCATCAGGACTCAGGATGGATACATACACAGTACGGGCATGGGGACACATAACAGAAGAGAGTGTTGCCATGCGCCACGCTCATAGCAGAAAAGAGACCACAGATGAAGGATATGGAGGATGGAGATGAAGGGGGAAGATGAAGGGAAGACTGCAACTCCATAGCCCAGCAGAAGAAGTCTCCTCAATGGTCCCCAAGAGTCTCCGTGCAGAATGTAGTCTTCAATGAACTGCCGGAATAGTCACCAAATATCTCTCTCTCTCTCTCTCTCTCTCTCTCTCTCTCTCTCTCTCTCTCAAGGAGGAGGTGGATATGAAGGACAGGATGAGAGGACAAGAAGATAAAGAAACTTTCCTCTCTCTGTGTGAAGGAGGAGGTGGATACGGAGGGCAGGATGAGAGAACAACAAGAAGACGGAACTCTCCTCCCTCTCTCGCTCTCTCTGTGGGTCTGATATTGATCTGTGAAAGGTGTCACCTTGAGCTGTGATGGTGCAGGTCTGGCGTCTGCATTTCAGTCGTCATGCGAGTCTCCTCTGGCGCAGCACCTCCATGCGGGCACGCTGGCCGCTGCTTGTTGACCCGCTGGATATGGGCGCCTGAAGCTGTCTGCTGATCGGCAGATGAGAAAAATATAGAGAGAGAGATTGAGAGAAAAATATATATATATATATACATAGATTATAAATTAAAGAAGGATGACCTCGGACCGTATTCAAGTACGTATCCGACCCGGACCGTTGTCCCCATCCGTCGTATTGCGGTAAAGCTGGGCAAGCAGCATGGCACTACGGTCCCGGCCAGCAACCGGCAACCTTAACCTGCAACTTGGCCAGCAGTTCCAGTCGAGTTCGAACCTCTCTTTTCACATTGTCACACACCTTTACCCTATCACTCTCTTCCACACTGCCACACATCTTTACCGTACCGTTGAGACCCACAGCTTTACCCTGCAGTGGAGTTGTTGTAGGGCAAAGGTGTGTGACAGTGTGAAAGAAAGCATCTCGAACTCCGTTGGGAGCAGGGTCGGCTTTTCGACGTTCACTTTTATTTCTTTTTGCTGGGCCAGGTGAAAGTGAAAGAGTGAAAGAGAGCGTCGACAACTGCCAGAGTAATCTGGAAAAGTAGATTGATGAGAGCACATCCAATGCCGAAGGCGGGAGGAGGGGGGGGAGGGAAGGGCACAGCGGTAATGCCTTAGTTGAGAAAAGGTCATCCATACAGTACAATCTTGTGAGCGCGGGTAGTGCCCAAGTGCTGCACAGTTCTCATAAGTGCCACAGGCCGCCTTTGATCTCCTTGCGAACAGCAGTGGGCAGGCATCTTGATGCTCCCACCCATGTATGCCCCTTGCATATAGGGGTCTGACGCGGTAGTGTAGGGGTGGTCAGATTCCATTTGATATCCCTCTATTCAGATAGCTCGCTTCCCTTTGAGAATGCCGCGTCTTCGCACGAGGGATCGTCAAAAGCTTGCTGTGGGAGTCATGGCCGTCGCCGGCAGGATGGCGGAGGATGCTTATGCCATGCTGGATTTCATACTGGGTTTTCAGACTAGAAGACCACCTATGCTCCTCTGCAGGCCAGTGCTTGATTCCAGACGACGTTGATGACAAGTGAGGACGAGAAGATTGGAACGCAGGAAGAGGGGCTCAGGGCATAGGGAGAAACAAGAGCACAGGGTAATGACGAACGGCCTGACCGAAGGATATGCAGGTGATGGAGAGAGAGCAATAAAGAGGGAGAAAGCGACAGACAGAGGAAGAGAGGAAAGGACATAGCAGATCCTCAGGGGCCACATCGAGTATTGGAGAGCAGGAGCTCGAAGAGGATCCCAACGGAGGAGAGAAAGGTGTGTAGAGAAACACGCGAGAAAAGAGATGGCGGGAACAGGACAAGGAGACAAGAGGATGGGGAAAAGTGGATTGGTGTTGGGAAGATCGGGAGGGCGTATGGAGGGCGCAAGTTGAAAGATCGGTGCTTTGACCGTCTTCAACCCCTGAGGCCCTGTGGAAACAACTTCAAGACTTGGGGAACTTTAAGCAGCTCAAATTGAGTGGTGAATAACTGTGAGCTCATCATTTGTGCAAGCTTTTCATTCTTCTCCTCACTCCGATGACACTCGCCGCTGCAAATCTCTCTCTCTCTCTCTCTCTCTCTCTCTCTCTCTCTCTCTCTCTCTCTCTCTCTCTCTCTCTCTCTCTCTCTCTGAGCAAGTCCTAGTCCCCTCCTTTCAGCAGGTCCACCTACGGCACCACTGTGAATCTTCAGCAACTCCTCTCTCCTCTCGTCTTACTGACAGGAATCTCCTGCAAGTCATCCTTCCTCGTTCCTTCAAAATGTCAACGCTCCTGCAGCCTGCGGGGACAGTGTGGGCAGCTACCTGCCATGCCCAAGCCTTCTGACCTGCCCTTCCCTTGCCTTCGCATTTCACGCAATGAAGCTTGAGCCGGAGTGCAATTCAAAGACAGCTACCTCCCACATCGTAGAAGAGAAGAGCCAAACCTTCTCTATCAATGACCGCCGTCATACCATAATGAGTTGCCTCTAAGGTAGACCGTGAAATCCAGCCTCCCTAACAGTGACATGGTGGAGCCTCCCACACCGCGCCCAGGTCCATGGTCCGGCAAGCCCCTCATCCGCCAAGGCCTTTCCTATGGCCGAGAGGCCTACTATGAAGATCTCCAGGCCCCCAGGCCTGGTGTCAGAGGCCTAAGCATGCTATAGTCACTCTCAACTACTATCGGCTTCCCCGTACAGAACATAGAGTCATTACAGCGGTATTTGGGCCAACTTTCAGTCTGGATACACAGATAATGACTGTATGTCCTATTTGGCGGAAGACAGTAGGCAGACAAAGCATTTCACCTCCCAATTGATCTACAGTTGCCTGACGACCAGCATCTTTCAAAATGGATGTGCTCAGGACGCAGCTACCATTTCCCCCCGAACATAACGCACCCTGAAAATGGATGTATACAAGCTATATGTCCGGTCTGGTACAACCAAGATAAGGGTGTGTTGTGTTCGGGGGAAGACAGTAGTGTCAAATACCTGGCACTGGCACTGGCAGCAGGACAGATAATCGCAGCCCTGATACTTTCTAAATAAATCTCTCTCCAATTGTTGTCACATTCTCGTCCAGCACATTCGAAGGAAACTGAACAGACCCAGGGGGAGTGACATCAGGATCTTATGTTCAGGTACTCAGGACTTTGGGACTTTGGGCCCAGTCATCGGTTTCAAAGTTTTTTGCAGGCAATTCCGAACTGTTACATTTTTATAGTTCCTGATTATACATACGATTCTTTGTATAAGTTTTCAATATACATTATACTATGAAGCACAAATTTGTGGTTCACCCGAACAGTGCTGGTCAGCCATTTGCAGATCCCCCATGTGGTCTACACCTCGTGGGGTCAACTGCAATCCGGGCAGATCATGTTCCAATCCCTCAACGTTTAGGGCTGCATCCTGAGCAGGGACTGTCCCTGGAGTCGGGAGGGTATCTTGGGCAGGGACCACATCGTGCTGTACAGGTGAGTCCTGAATATCTAACCCCGCAAGGTATAAAACATGGTGCCCTGGCTGCCTCCAGCTGCCTGCAGGAGGCATAGGAGCGGATATTGACGTTTGAAACAAAGGAATCACAACAACCTATGGAGGAGGCACAGAGAGAATTGGGGCAGACAAAGAAAAGGTTGCTAATCCCCAAACAACTGACGATGCCGTGGATGTCGTTGCCGATACACAACAAGAGGAGTAGTGGTGTTGCAAATAGAAGATGAACTTGTCCCTGGCAACGAAGGTGGAACAATGGGAACAATGGAAACTGGAAAGTCTGCTCGCAAGCGAGACCGTGGAGGAGATGAGGGTGGTGAGGAGGAACGTAGCCGTCTGCGGTCAAGCACAGAAACAGATGAGAGGGGAGTGGATTGGGCAAGATTTCGGAATAAAGGACGTGAGTATTGAAGAGAGTACGATGTTTTTTGCACTGGAGCTGCAGGAGAGGAAGGTGTAGCAGCAAAAACTACACTAGGGGGATTTACAGTTATGGAAACTGTTCTACTGAAAACTGCAGCAGTGGAAACCGCAGCAGTAGAAACTACAGCAATGGAAACTGGAGCGATGGAAGCTAGAGCAGTGAAGACTGTAGTGGACACTGGAATAATGGAAACCGCAATAGTGGACACTGCAGCAGTGGAAACTGCAGGAGTGGAGACTGCACCAGTGGACACCGGGGCAGTGAAAATTGTAGGAGTGGAGACTGCAGCAGCTACGTGGCACCCTCGGCTGCGGCCGCAGGATCCGAGTCCGCGGCCCGGATCCTAGGCCGCTCGGCCGAGTTTGCGCGCAGGTGGGCGTGCGCCCTCGAGATCCGAGCGCGCGCGCGGCCTGCGCACGTCGGCGG